AAAAAAAAAAAAAAAAAAAAAAAAAAAAAAAAAAAAAAAAAAAAAAAAAAAAAAAAAAAAAAAAAAAAAAAAGACAACAAAAAAAAAGAAAAAAAGTCAAGTAAAAAAAAGTAATGTATATAATAAAGGTTATATGCAATTGTTACCATTATATATAGAATACAGTTAAAAGTAAATAAGACGAATTTAAAGTGTAAAAGAAGTCTGTATACGAAAAATTTACAATTACTGTATTAACCAAATTAATGATTTTCTAAAACTTTTTCTTAAAGCGCGCAGACGCCTGTTCATTTTCAATCTTCTCTTTGCACTATGTTCGTTTTTCATCTTCGATGAATTATCCATGTGATCTAAGATGCCGTTATTCATATCATTCGTGCATTTTATTTTGAATAAAGCATGAAAAATAATAATAATGAAAAAAAAAAATATATAAAAAATGTTAAAAAAAACAATTTTTTAACAAAAAAAAGTGTTAAAACCAAATTTTTAACGAAAAAAAAAAACAAATTACATTTCAAATATAAAAAAAAAAAAAGGACAAAAAAGAAAAAAAAAAGAACTAAATTCTAATTATAACTTTATGTATAAAGGTTAAACATCATTGTATAATTGCATTTTCATTTCAATTTAATCGTATCCTCTCTCCAATTCTGCGAGTTTATCTTTTAATGCGTTGATTATTACCTTTTTTTCGTTTTTTAATGAATTGTTTTCTTTTTTTTAGTGTTTCTATCCATTATCCATTTACCCATTTATCCATCGGATATCCAAATCTGAATCTATTCGGATATCCGTTTTACTATTAATATCCGGATAATTATCTGATTACCTGTCGGATTATCCGGATAATCGGATACGGATAAACGGATGACGGATTTATCCGGATTGGAACTCTACTTTTTTTGCTTCATCCAAATCTTTTATTGCCTTGTCACGTTCGTTGGTAATACGTTCAATTGTATTGTTTAATTCTGAAACATGACTTCCTAATATATCTAAGATTTGAGAAAAGGGTATGCTTTGATTGACGGATTCGATGCTTACACCTTGATTGATGGGCTCAATGCCTACGCCTTGATTGATGGGTTCTGTTCCTACGTCTTGATTGATGGGTTCGGTTATTACGCCTTGATTAATGGTTCGCCATTATGTAAATTTTTCTAAAAATGAATATAATATTTATAAATTAACATTTTTTTTTCTTAATTTAGTATATAATAATTCGCTTAAAAAAATTTAATGATTTAACCATACAACATGCTCAATTTTTTCGTTTGAATTTGCGTTTTCTTCGCGTACTACAGACTGAAACCATGCATAATCCTCTTCATTTAAAATATTATTATTGGGGTCGGTTTCTACCATTATCTTTTGGGGTCAACGTTTGATATGATTGTGGTGATTTCATCGTTATGCTTAAAAAAAAAAAAAAAAAACTATTAGCATTGCTAAGTAGTAATATTTCCAAAATAGTATATAAACAAAAAGAATCTTTATGGGATAAAGGAAGGGACATAACTGAAACTTAATATAAAATCAGTAGTCCATACCCCAGAAACTTCAACAGACTTTTCTCGTGGTCATAGAAGATCTATCCTAAATACTCAATTCTGCGTAATCACTGCAACTTAGGTAATCTCACAAAGATTCTCCTTGTAGTTATAAACTAAGTATTTTCGTAATCATAAAAACCACAAAAATACTTAGTTCTGCGTAATCACCATAAGCTTAGGTGATCTCACAAATATTGCTTTTTGTGGTCATAAACTGAGTCCTTCCTGCGTAATCACCGCAGCTAACGCTTTAGTAATCTCACAAGAATAGTCTGAGGGTTTTAACTACCAGTAAATCTACATACATTGTTTTGTTCTCTAGAGTTTTTGGTTTTACGTTTAAGACACTGTTTTGTTGCAATTTGTGACATTTGTAGTAGAGAAAGTGAAGAATAGAGAACGCGTTTTTATTGTATTTAAATAATTTTCAGGGGCATAATACGTACTCATGTATTGCTGGTATAGTAAAATACCAAATTTAGAAAATTTAGGGGTGCCAGACATGTGACAAAATCAAATTATGTGAAATTACCGTAATTTTACGTGTATGTGTGTATATTGCCTGTTACAGTTCAAGATCCCTACATCAATCTAATCTAACGCTATTGCTTTATAAATTCATTAAATTAGTATCTATAAATTTTACTCTAATTATAAATAATCTTCCATATTATAATCCATGTTCCCAAGCAAATTTATTATTGTGTGCGAACATATGAATTTGCCATTGACCAGTGAAAATCAATTTGAAGTAAAAATAGTCAATTTTACGTATTATTATTGCTATCATTACGTTATTTATAAGATATTGGTCATGCAACGATTAATATCATAACGTACAAAAAATAACAAGAAAAAAAATCTATGATTATAAGAGTTTGCACAATAACATATTAATATGGGGTTGAGTCAATAGAAATCAAGCAAATTTTTTCTAAGTAAATTTTTTTTAAACTTTAAACAACAATAACTTAACAAAACCTTAATCAAATTTAATAATTTTTTTTTAAAATAACTTCTACAAACTTATAGAATTTGTTTAAGAAAATTTTATTAAATTTGATCAAATTTTGGTTAAGTTATTAGCATATAAAGTCTTAAAAAAAATTCAATAAAAATAATTTGCTTGATTTCTATTGACTCACCCCCATATGATATACATCGTCTCCGTTAAAATTATCACATACATACGTGCATACATTTTTGTTTTAACAATTCTAAAATTAAATTTTATTTTTATATAATTACAAATTTAATTTTTGCTTTTATAATTATTAATTGAATTATGATCTTATGCAATCTTTATAAATTATCAAACTATAGCTGATAGTATTTTGTAAATTAAATTATTTTTGTATTCAAATACATCGCTAATACATAATGTGGTCAAAAATTACAATTACATGTACCGAATCGCAAAATTACATACGTACTTAAACAATATTAATGATATATGTGTTTACATTTAATATAATGCTAAAATTATTTATCAGAGTTTATAATATTTTAGCATAAAATATTTATCATATATAGTTTATAATACTTTAGCATAAAATATTTATCATAGTTTATAATACTTTTAGAATAAAATATTTTCATAGTTTATAATACTTTTAGCGTAAAATATTTATCATAGTTTTATAATACTTTTAGCATAAATAATGCAAAATTTATTTTCTACAGTCACAGGAACAAACCGGTTTATTCATGAAAGTATGATACAGTAATAGTAAAATCGCATATTACGTCGCATCATAATCCTGAACACCCTAGGTACACTATCACGTGTCAGGTCTTAGGGTAGGTACAAAAATTATCCGAATTGGGGGTAAATTGGGGGACGTCCAAAACGGAGTAGATTCTTATAACGATAATATATATTTTATTAAATTAACTTTAGGGTTAGGGTCATCTTATATTAGAGTTATGTTAGGTTTTAGGTGGTTATATATAAGTAAAATTGCCTTCCCGACATTTTTAATTAACCCACCCGAGGTAGGTTTAGACTGCCGCCGTTTTTTGTATTTTTCAGGTTTTTCGTTTTTATTTCTTGTTTTGCTTCGCCGGCGATCATCAAAATTCTATAATTTGCTGGTCAAATGTCACATTACTCTACTCCGCTTTAGACGACCCCCCGAATTGGTAGGTGTCCGGAGACTTTCCCCAAATAAATTGATGCACGTGTGAAATCTTATTACGTGAAGAGGGCAGATGTAAATGCCAAGATCGGGGACCAAGCTATAGTGTGATCTCTCTGTGTACTTAGAGTGATTTTACTGCGTCTACATTAATTATCGACCCTAGTGTTATAATTAATTGTAAATTTAATGCACTGTTTATTTGTGGCCCGATTTAATATTGCCCTTTTAATCAAGGTTAGACCGATTTTGACTTGTAACTCGTATAACACGTACGTACGTACGTACGTACGTCCGTATCAGTATAGGCTAGCCTTACCCGGGTAACACCTCTTTAAAATTGTAGCGATCATGTTATTAGTCTGTAAATTTAATGGGTACCATTATTCGCTTTCAGTAAGTTGATTCGAATAAAAACATAATTGAATCATTATTAAATAGTCAAGTAAATCAATATATACTATATTTTAAAAGTAACTAACATGAATTCTGTAATTAACGTAGCCAAATAAAAAATAAGGCAACTTTTAATTGAATTAATGCATATAGAAATATGTATAAATTGAAAAGTTCTCTAGCATATGAATGCAATTACTTTGGTTGCGGAATATGGTCGTACAATAAACAATCATTCTGTATCAGGCTCATATGCTTAAACTCTAACAAAAACGGAAAATACAAAAGCCGACCCCAATGTTTGAACTGTAATAAAACATGATACCTTCCATAATATTACCGCGTTGTAAAAATATACATATGTGAGCATTATTATTCTGTTCTTAATCCTTTGCTGCTTCCTTGCTAGGTTCTTCTTCTTGAGCAGCCTCCTTGTTAGATTCTTCCTTTGGTTCGTCTGTCTTTGCAGTGTCATTAGCATTTTCTAACTCAGGGTAGTCTTCATCATCAGAATCATCCTCCTTAATTATTATAATTTCATGTCAATACCAGTCATCATTATTAAAAGAATTTTAAAAATATTATTCAACTTACTTCAAATCCTGCACCACCACCACCCGCTCCACCAGCACCCATTAAATTAGAGAAATCCATTCCGCCTAAAGGATCCTGTCCACCTTCATCCTCATCCTCATCCTCATCCTTCCATTTGGCAAAGTCGGTCTTGAGAAAGCTGATTTTACCTGGTTCCTTTTGTAAACGTGGCCAATATTTTTGTCCATGTTCAGCTTTATCAAGAACAATGATAATACTACGTGCAGTCTGCGAGCGCTTTGAAGCCTAAGCATTAAAATAAAAAACAATGATCAATATGACTAATTGATTATTTATATTTTAAATACATTTTCACGTCTAAATCAGTGTTGAAAATTAACTTTATGTTCTTTGAATACACTTTAACCTTTTTAATTTTCAGGTTTTTTTTTTTGTTTATTGTTCTCTATATTAAGAAAACTGCAGCACATCTGTGCTCTCGATTTAAAAAAGATGCTCATATTTGATCCTCTTAAATAAGAGTATATTTCATACCCTCCAAAATTGATGTTTTCAGAAAACGTTAGAGATCAAATTTTCAACACCGATCGTGATATTCTACCAAATAAATTTTTTTTTTAAAAAAAGAAATTAATTGTTACCTCTGGATTAACTTCTTTATGTAAGTTTAGCTCAAACTGATACAGTTTCTGTTCTGTGCCTCCGATTCCTTCAAAAGAAATCTTATCTTTGGTCACATCGATTTTAGGATCTTTAATATCAACCAAATTTATAGTAACATAAATCTCATTTTGGCGTTGTGCCCAAAGTACTTCGGGGTGAAGACTACTTAAACAGAAGTTGATAAATTTTATTAAGACAGAATAATTCAAGGTGTATACCGTGTCTTAACTGTCAAAAACCTGAGACGTGAAAAAAAAATTTTTTTTCTTACCGAGAAGACGTCATTATCACTTAATAATAATAGAATTGTGTGTATTGAAACAAAATAAATTGTTCTAATATTTTATATCGAAATCAATTGTGCCAAAGACATCGATAAACTCCGTTTATCAGATCTTTTTTTCTTTTTTATAGTGACGTAAAGAATTTCGCGAATGTTCTAGTGCATTATCATTTGTGTTACGATTTTATACAATAGGCATTACAGTTATTTTAAAAAGACAAGATCGTCTTAATACTCAATACACGCGTTAATCAATGTAACGATCACCGTTTAGAGTTAGAATAAAGCTCGTTGCACACACACAAAAAATATGTATATATATATATATATATAAAAACTGTATATAAAATAAATAGTCGTAACTTCTTGAATGTTGAAATTATAATTCTAATCATTGAAATAGAGATCAGATCCGGGTGAAATTTCCGTATTAATCAATTCAAGTTTGAGAACCAGATCACTGTTGGGCATAATGTATAATTCCTATTCATTTTCACTCGGATAACAAATTTGTATCCGGGTCTGATCTCTACTTTGAAACATTTGACAATCAAAAAAAGTTTTCAAAAAAAAAGTACTACTATGCTATATGAAATTTACTGAACAAATAATTCAGGGGTTTCATTCTCTACAAATATAGCAGTCTTTTTTACGTTTTCATCCCACTCTTGTAACCTCTGTCTCATATTATCAATTTGATCTTTATCTAAAACACGCGGTTGAACCCACGTTACAACTACTACTTCACCAACTTGATCAATTGACCCACGAATCAATTTAAGGGAAAGTGCCTTCATTACAAGATATTCCACCTTTAAAAACATTAAGAAATTCATGCTCGTTAAATTTTGAAAAAACATTCACTTATAAACTTATAAATAAATAATACCTCGTCAATTGGCAATTGGGTTTCTTCCGAAATATTTGCGAAGGGAATTGTCCTATTATCTGAGCTTCTTTTAAATACTGCTTCAATCAATGACATTAAGCAAATCTTCTGACGTAAAAATGACATATTTTCTTGTAATATAGGCTATAAGATTTATACGATTTGGTAAACGTAATATATATATGAATTATACGTATCAATTATGCAAATTAATACTCTTGTATACCTGTTGAGCAAAATTCACTGCCAACATTTCAAATTTTCCAATATCCCCTGCGTTAAACGCAAATAATAAATTCCTAAGCCATTCAAAAGGAGTGTTTGTTAACGTATCCAAGATTGGATGCATTAACTATTGTATTCAACAGATGTTAACATGTTAGTCTCGAAATTATTTAACAAGAGAATATTTCAGGGAATAATCATTTACCAATTCACCGAAATTATAAATGGTATCACCCAACAATGCACTAATCGCCAAATCGTGAGCCCTTTCAGCTTTTTCTTCTAAAGTCAAATCTTCAAGTTGAATACATGCTAGATAAAGCAATGCATTTTTATAATATTGTGCATATTCCGCCTTTGCCTAATTTATCAAAAACCAATAGCTGAATTATTTAATGTTAGCGATCTTTGGCAAATTGAAAACTTACATGATTTTGATACATCAACTAATTTCTTTACCTTGTAAAAATCCGCACAAACACGATAAAAACTCGCGTGAATTACAGTTTCCACGGAATCAAATGTATCAAGAATCTTCTCACATTCATCCATAGCAGTCTTCGTGCCCTCAAGATCAAATAATCTAAGCTTTATATAAGCTGTTTCTGTCACGGCAAGAACATATGCATCACGCGTTTCAGGCGTATCAACTTTTTCAACAAGTGACGTTAGAAAGGCCAAGGCTTCGTTATAATCTAATATGATATTTATCATGAGATCTTTAATCATGCAAATTTTTTTGGACCGTCCATTTTCTTGAATGTCGCATATCAATTATATAAATCCTACCACTAAATTGTTTCGCGACACAAAGTCCCAACCTCACTAATTTAAGCTTATTCATCTTGCTTTCCCAGTCAGATATAAAATGTTGAAACAGTTGAATCTGGTAAGGACCAGAGGTTTGTTCTGTAAAGAATTCTTCAATTTTTAAAGTAAGTTGGTGCCATAACTTGCGATCATACAAGTCTTCAAAATTATTTAAATATTCTTGTAATTCTGAAGGACATTGTTTACGAAGCTCATTCAATACCATTGTTGGATTCTGGTCAACATCCATTTTCATTTCTGGTTGATAGTAAGTCATGGTTGAGTAAAGATAGAGTCAACTATGTATGTTTCGAATTTGACTAAAATTTTTCTGATTACGCAAGCGGTTATACGTAATCACTTTCCCAAAACTAGAATTTAGTAATTTTCGCTAACGCTAATGTTATTAACTGGGATAGAATTTTACAAATTTTCCAAAATTTTACTGAAATGGCAACCAACGTCTAAGTAAAGCTGCCCAGATGATAGCGATAGATAATTTGCTTAGTGTTCCACAAAAAAGATCCGGGCGGGTCCGCTATTTTTAATGGATATAAATGTAATATTTTACAAAGGGTACCAGAACTAAAACTATATATATAATTAATATGAAAAACACACTTCAAGAAACAGGCTCCATTTGTCTCTCTCAGGCGTCTATCGCCAGCAGCAAGGATATCACGGGACAGCCTTTGAAAAAAGTTTAAACATCTCGCGGACCATAGTACCCGGATAGATTAGTGGAGCAACCAAAATTAAGTAGATCGACCAAAATTTAGGGTCGGAATAGGCCGGAGTTGATAAATTTCTCCCAAAATTTTAATGAAATGGTAGCCCACGTACTAAGTAAAGCTATAATATTGTTGGCTTGTATTCTTACTTAATGCCGGCCTAGCTCCGGGCCTATTCCGACCCTAAATTTTGGTCAGTCTGCTGAATTTTGGTTGCTCCACTAATCTATCCCCCCACATCAGAGTACCCCCTATGAAAATTTTTCGCTGTACTTTACAAAGTGAAATACCTGGTGTTACGATCGGAGAAGTGCTGTAAACAATCTTGAACCAATTTAGCTTCGATCATGAACAATATAATGAGGTCGAATAATTTTAAATCGATAAATTAACACACATAATTATAGGTTACATAAATCAATATATCAGATTATCAACAATAATACTAATACAACAACTGTCCTTCTTTTCAAACTAAAACCACATCCTTTATATATCTTTAATTCGTACCGGGGTTTTAATCACTTTACTAAGAGTTTATATCACATCATTGAGAGCTTAAATCACTCGTTACAATTTCTTCTCTGAGGGTTATTCACCCTTGTTGGAAGCTAAAACCACCCAACTATGTCACAAACTATACCTAAATAAGAAATAAATAAAATAATGATAAAATACTAATATTAACAAAAAATAATTTTATGCGTAATATCAACCCTCCCTCAGAAAGATGAGCTTTAGCAAATCATTATCTATTCTTGATACAATACCAATATACCTTTAGAGTGTCTTCAAATTTTTTTTTTTATTATAATCATCTAAATTATTTTTTTTAAACAGATGTTTTACCAGACTACCAATTCTATCTTTATTAGCACTTTAGATTTCAATTATAAGACTATTCATCACATGCATCTTTATTACCATTTGAAATATTTACAACTTTTTGATTATTCAACTATATATTTAGAGGTTTTGGCTATATCTAATTTTGAGATAATTAAGTTTAATCATTTATTTTAATTTTTAAACTGATCTGAGTTAATCAAAATTTTATAATTTTAATTAATTAAAAATAATATATATTCACCCAATCTTTATCCCTTAAACTGTAGGCTCTTCCAGGCAAATTTGCCTGGAAAATTATCATAAATATTGTTATGATTTACTTTTTTTAAATTTTAATATATTTAAATAAAA